TTTTTTTTTTTTTTTTTTGGTGTGGTGACAGTTGGGTTATGATCCTTCAGAGGAATTATTAGGACTCGGAGTCGATCTCAAGCCAGGGTGCGAGCTCTTTTATAATGATCTTTATTATTATTATTATTCTTTTTGGGTATATTATTTGTTCCATCTAGTTACAATTTGATTGATGCATGGATAATTTGATTTCCAGTGATGAGAAAATGTTCAAGGATTTCCAAAGAAAATTTTCAATAAATTTTATAATTGATTCTGAAGGTAAAGATAAGACATGGACAAAACAATCATATTGTTCTTTTTAACTTATAGTTTTTATGTCTTTCTATCATTTTAAATATGTATAAAATATTAATTAAAATAAATATTAAATATGTTAAATATATTTTATATATTTTTTAGATGTTAAAGAATAAAAAAATGTACAGTTGTAGCTACGGGCTAACATTCTCAAACTAAGCCTAATTTGTTGCAAGATGTCTTGTATTTGGTAGTTTGTTCTTAGTGTTTATTTCTTACCCTCTCATTGTTTCAATCTTTGGTTTCGCTTTTGAAGGGAAATGCTGTTCTTTGACTAGGTATCAAATTTAAGGGATATTGAAGTGCTCTCGTTCCTTAAAAACACTGCTAAACAACCTATTAATTTGGTTTCATCAATCTTGATAATTAGAATGCGGACGTTGCAATTAAAGTGCAGTAACTTATTGATTGCACTTTCAGGAATTCAGTTTCAGAGAAACCCAAACCAAGATCATGGTTTGGTCCAAGTGGTCAATATATCAGAGAGCTTCCTTGCCCAGATTGCCGGGGAAGAGGCTATACTCCATGTACAGAGTGTGGAATAGAAAGATCAAGATCAGACTGTTCTCAATGCAATGGAAAGGTAAGTGTTAATGTTCTGTGTTAAATTCCTTATCTTACTTGGAAGCACAAGAAGAGCAGCAGCTTAGAAATCATTTTCCATTTGGCTTATGCAAGGAAAATACATTGTGTTATCTTGCATAAGTTGGGATTTTCTTGTGATGAAATTGGAATTACCAGCTCATGTTTATTCACATTAACAATTATAGGGGAAAAGGAGAAACTAAGAGAAGTAAATGTATCAACTCTCATGGAAAACAATTTTGCTTTTCGATAGTACACTTATTTTTTTCTTTCACTTTTTTTTTTTTTTTTTTTTTTACTTATTACAGGGTATAATGACCTGTGGTAAGTGCTTGGGGGAGTGTGTTACATGGGAAGAGTCAATTGATGAGCAACCATGGGAGAAAGCCCGCTCAACGTAATTTCTCATTAACCAGTTTTCAAATTATGGTTGAATCACCAAGTCATGTTGCCACTATTTCTTTAGATTTTCCTAGTTCCTGGATAGACTGACATTTCCACCATTTATCTTGTGATTGCAACTCTAAATAGATTTCTATCATAAATTTCATTTTTATTTGATTTTCTTTGGTAAATGATTATTTACTTCAGCATCCTACAACACTTTATATGGTAGATACATAATAACGGGAGTGACTAAAATGGGCTTGAGCAGGTGGTTTCTGAGTTGGGTTGAAGACTTGCTCTGTGCTGTGATTATTTAGGACCATAATTGTGTCTTATTTTTTAGTCATAAATAAGAACTTGTGCTTGCTTTAATAATACTTATTTGGAATTTATGTTACTTTCACCAAATGTGGAATATTGATTGTCCTTGATTGAACTATCAATGCAGATAAGAAACCCCTCCTGTATGCTACGTTGTATGATAACCTAGGAAATTGGCTATTAAGTAATGTATCATCATAAGGTTCTTAATGATACTTTTACAGTATGTTTTTCTTGACTTGATAATGCAGTCTAGTTTTTGGAAATGCTATTTATTCTCTTCAGCATAATATAACCAATCCTCTATTCTTATTTTCACCTTTTGTCTTGTCCAGTTCTCCCTTCAAAGTGAAGGAGGATGATGAAGTAGACAATCTAGACATAAATCTGGATGTGAAGAAAAAGTCAAAGCGTGTTTACCAATCACCATCTCCTGAAGTTGGATTGAAGATTAGCCGATCACTAAAAGTTAGTTTGCTGCCGTAGTCTTACAAGGAATGTTTTTATATAAAATTTGATCCATATGTTTGCATACAATTCAATTCTATTGATGGCATCATATTTACCTTGAATACAAAATTTTGACATTCATGTCACATGCATTATTTAAGTTTGTATATACTGTTGACTGCATTGTCAATATATTGGATGACATGTTTATGCCTCTCCCTAATTGTTCTTTCCTTTTTATTTTTTATTTTTTTATTTTTTTATCATCAAAGAAGTTGGTGCTTAGCTATTGCACTGATTTGAACTCCTGAACTTAATCTTAGAATTAAGGTTTTGAAATGAATGGATACCAACTTAGCTAAACTCTTGTTTGTCTATGTAATTACTACTGCCTTTGTCCAATTTTAGTTGTCATA